CAAGAGGCTGAGAAGTACAAGTCGGAAGATGAGGAGCACAAGAAGAAGGTGGAGGCGAAGAACGCTCTGGAGAATTATGCCTACAATATGAGGAACACTATAAAGGATGACAAGATTGCTTCCAAGCTCGACGCTGCTGACAAGAAGAAGATTGAGGATGCAATTGAGCAGGCCATTCAATGGCTGGATGGCAACCAGCTTGCTGAGGCGGATGAGTTTGAGGACAAGATGAAGGAGCTTGAGAGCATCTGCAACCCGATCATTGCCAAGATGTACCAGGGTGCCGGTGGTCCTGATGTCGGTGGTGGCATGGATGAAGATGTTCCTCCTCCTGGTGGCAGCGGTGCTGGTCCCAAGATCGAGGAAGTTGATTAAGTTGTTTTCGTGGCTGTGTTTTGATTGAACAAAATGGTGGAGATTGTCAGCTGGTTTAAGTTCTTATTTTTTTAAAAAGTATTTCAGTATGCTAGTTAAGGTTTGAACTCGGTAAACGTCTGTTAAATATCCGAGATCCGTGTACGGTGATCTTGGTCATTTTGTTGATAATGTTGTGTTTCAATTTTACCAATTAAGCCTATTTTCCTTTTAATTAGGGTCTCTTAGGTTAATTTAGAAATCGTCATTATTTCACCCCCCAAAAAAAAAGAAATAAGTTTCATTGATTCACAATTGGGGTTCTTAATTGGATTTAATTCCAAAACTAACCAACTATAAGATTGTGACTCTCTCGACAGGATTTAAAAATAAATAATAAATAATAAAAAACAGGCAAGAAACTTTTTCCGCTGTGTCTTGATACCTTTTCATGCTAAACCACTGTGGCCTGAAACCTCCTTAACAGCCTCCTCTTCCATTTCCACAAGTTGGCGGCAGAATGCTTCGACATCACGTGCCTCTTCCTTCAAAGATAATCTAAATTGCTTCCACTGGAACTGGCCATATCCATCCTTCATCGCAGGACTGGGAACCTTGCTCAATACCTCAAATCCCTTACGATCGATAGACAGCATATATGCATCCTTCCATGACAGCATGTATATAAATGAGTTGAGAATGAGCAAGCACCCAAGTAATCATTAATACATGAAACTCCTTAAATGCATGAACTTACCTTTGCATTTGTATTGAAGTATGTCAAGCAGAAAAGCATGAGGGCTCTGCGTCTGGCAGCGCTTTGATTTATCCCATCGATAAGCTTAGCGGACAAAAGAGCTAGACATCAAAATATTACGCATGTGATTAGCATGGTAAAGCTCTATCTTCTTAATGCTATGAGAGTCCTTAAATACTAGTTTCAGAAAGGTTCTACCTAACGGATCTGCTTTAGACGCGTTCATATCTTCCTGATCAATCTCATGAGTGTCTCCATTGCCGTCAACATACATGCATGATCTGTACAATAAAGATTTTGAGTCATAGGTAGCCGGGACTGAAATTTTAAGGGGTCCTCCAACAAAACACATAATCTGAACTGCTGTACATGGTTAGCAAACAGAGAGCAAACCCAGGAACATGAACATTACTCCCATTGTAACGCTATTAAGAAACCCAGAAACATTGCATTTCTCCCATTGAAACAATATTAAGAAACTATACATATTCAAGGACATCTGGGTTAATGTTTTGGAAACTATAGCCACAGTTGTATTAAGGGAATGCATGGTAATACTCCTTATTGTGTAACCTAAAAAACAAGGAAAAATGAATTTTACTGAACACTGGCCAGGTGGTTGTCTGGTTATCAGGTGGGTCAGGCGGGGAGAACACAAAAAAGGCGGTACTTCAATTAGAAAACAGAAGCACCAGCTCCAATACTTTCTATCGAAGTCTTAATTCTAACCTGAGCCTAAAATAATTACAACCAGATATACTGATGAAAACACCACATTCAGTTAACAACAAACTTTAAACAAAGATTTCAAGACAGAATCAAAAAAGAGAGGTTCTTGCCTTTGGTTGAACTTATAAACTATGTACTTTTCATCCCCTTCCAAGACCTCCTTAAGGTTTTCGCTTCGTGATGTACAGCTATGATCAGAAGAACTTAATACACCTGAAACTGTATAACTGGACTCACTTATTGCTTTCTGTTCTGACAGTACGACTTCTTTAAGGACTTCTGTTGCAGACTTAACCTGTAACAAGAACAATAACATCTTGGTCAAGGAAAAATGCAACCATAATACTTGAAAGCCATCAGAGAGCTCAAATTCCAGTTGATCGCTTATTACTTGTGTGGTTTCAATCTAAGTAGGATTAGGTGTAATTCAGTCGCTTATTCTCTATCGTAATCTAATTATGACGATTAAAACCATCACTGAATTCTTGGTTTGGATTTTCCTTATCCAGTGGATTATGTCATGGACCAGCCTTAATTAAACAACCATATTAGGAGGTACAGACTTTATATGAGAGAACTTACAGAAAGAAAAATTTATCGTCTTGTGACAAAGAACATGGATCCAGTAGTTGGAATCAGAGCTATTCAAGTTCAGAATGCTATAAAAAAGTAAAGTCGGGGTAGACTAAGATTACCTTTGCATCTGTTAGAGGTACAACATCTCCAATCAGAGCAACTCGAGCTGGTGACTGCAAATTCAGAAGAATGAACTATTAGCAGCTCTATGGAAAAAAGACCTATTGACGAATGGAGCAGATAAAAGCTATCTTTATAGTAGCTAAATTTTGGGGAGGGAGTTAAATCAAAAAATGAATACCTTTTTTATCGATCTAAGCAAGCTTGCCAGTGGACCTGGGATGGGATTGGCCACAGCAAATGAACTGCGTTCATCAACAATTACGTTCTGCATGAGAAGAAGAAAAATAAATAAGAGGATAACAGCTCTAATGACTAAAATTGCAGCCCCAGTGCACAAGGCGCACCTGTCACTAGACAATAAAATCATTTTTTTCCCTAAGATATCTGTCAAATAATTAAGTGAAGATATTAACAAAAAAACTCTCTGATAACTGCTCAAAATTCCTTTTAAAAAATTATGACTTGGCGAGTTAACACTTAAATTTCTAACAAAAAATTTAAACCACCGCCAAAGACAGCTAACCAGCAAGCAATTAAAGTTCAAACTTTATGAATTTATGTCAGAAGGTAAAACTAATCACTCTAAACACTATGATATGAGCTTACCACATTATGCAACTCCTTTTCGGGTACCCAAATGTATGGCTTCCCTCTTTTGCAGATGTACTTAACCTTTGATCTGTATATGTCTTCCTTACTAACACAACCATACAGAGCAAACAACAAGAAATCCCACTAGTTAATGTACGAAAGTAGCAGTCTTTTTTGCCCCCGAATGGTTATAAAGACCACAAGAAGGTTAACAGACACTAAAACATTGGAACCGATATCTTATTATAGTTATGCAAAGTGAAATCCCAAACTCAATTCCAAACTACTACACAAAATTATGAAACGAGAAATGATGTCTACACGGGTCCTTTGATCCAAATCAATTGGGTTTTCAATGTGATTTCTTTTCGACAACTCAATCCCCTACTTTTGCATCCTTGATCAGCTAAATTCTCAACCCAACTACACCAAGTTATTGTATTATATTCAGTTGAGTGGAGGTGTTTGCTATCCGAATTAATAAAAAAGAATGATTCTTCAATGTTTTCTAACCATATGGCTAAATATAAAGGTGCAACGAAGAAGAAGATGATGATGATGAAAAGTAACAGTTTTGAGCAAATGGGTACCTTCCTTTAGCATCAGCCTTTATGGTATTGAGTTGCCCTTGCCAGTTGGAAGACAGTATGCTCTGCAATAGTTTCAAGGTCATGACAAGCTTGTGCCAGCAAAAGTATGAACATAAATTGCAGAATGAAAGTGAGGTATTTGGATGCAACAGCTCCCATAACCCAGAGGGCATACCTTGCATTTCTCAGCAAACGTTAAGACCGTTGCCTTGTTGGCCCTCATGAGTCAGGTGAGGTTTTCGCAGTAACCCACCCAAAGTGTTCGACGAAATTACTGAAACAAAGTGTTTGTGTAACGTCTACGAGGGCGCGCGCGCGAGAGAAATAGCGGTAGTGTTTGTCACTTGTGACTCGTGAGGACGCGTTCAATGTCAAATGGGTGTCGAAGGTTGGGGTAGGGTTTTAGGGTGGTTTTGGAATTAAACCAATTCTCCAATGCCCTTTCATTGCTTTTCTAATTTTATGCTTATATATCATGTTACAATTATTATACACATACAAAAGGGCTTATATATCATGTGCCAGCAAAAGATAAACAACAAATAAAAAAGACTTTTGCAAATTACTTGTATCTTGAGTAGTTAATAGTTAATTTCTCCAACCTTTAAAATCGCGTATTTTGGAAATGAAAATGAAGTAAGTTACTCAATTATCTACATTTATTACATAAAAATGGTTAATCGTTTTATTAGTTCATGAACTTAGACTCGATTTGCATTTGAGTTCCTCAATTTCCAAAATCGTTTCCGTGGTTCTTGAACTTCACTTCCGTTAAAATAATAAAAGTAAATTTAGGTTTTAGCCAAAAAAAAAATTTCACTTTTGGAAAAAACCAAAGTTTTTTTTTAAAAAAAAAGAAAAACCTCTCAACTTTCAAATCAAAGACATGCAAATGTAAAGGATTTCTTAGGAAATCTAAAAATAAATAAGGGCAATTTTGTCCATTTTGGCTTCTTTTACAAAATTTCTCTCTCCTTTGTGTTTTTCCAAAGCCTCCCTAAGATAAATGGTCCTGCATTTAACAGAAAAGTTAACAAAATTAACGGTAGAACCATCGGTAGAACCATTTGTCCTAACAAAATTGAAATTGAAGGACCACGGAAACGATTTTAGAAATTGAATGACTAAAATGCAAATCGGAATTAAGTTTAGAGACTTATAAAAAGCTCAACCCTTTACATAAAAATTTGTTCTACAGCATTTATATAAGAGTATTGGTTAAGATTGAAATCTCCTTCTAAATGACTTACCGCCTTTTTCATTTTCGGCAGAGAAGAGAAAAATGAGGTTGAATTGGGAATTGACCAACCCAAAAAAAAAAAAAAAACTTTGTGCTTCTATGAACTTGGAAGATGACATCTGAAAACGCTTTAAAAACAGGCAAGGTATCAAAAGCCAAAAGCTGATTCTCAGAGAAGGCCGAGAAATCACCATAATCAGTTTCCACTCGAACTCGGATCGGATCTCCACATCCGTCCAATAAAATTGGGCCATGGATTCGGAGCTTTTCGAGCGTGACCGGCATGTGACGTTTCTGCAGATGATGTACCAGCTTCTGCCGTCCCCCTATCAGAGCCAAGAAATCAACCGCCTCACTCTCGCCTACTTCGTCATCTCCGGCCTCGACCTCCTCAACTCCCTCGATCGCCTAGTACGTTGTGAAAGTTGCAATATTTTCTTCCTTAAACGTTTTGTTGGGCTTCCTTTCTTTGGTTCTCATTGATGGAATTCAAATCTTGATTTGTTAGGTTGACAAGGATGCAATTGCCACCTGGGTTCTGTCATTGCAAGCTCATCCAAGAAGCACAGCCGAATTGAACAATGGTATGGGGCTTGCTTGCTTTCAAAAATGCAACATCTGTGTTTGTTTTTGGATTTGAATTCAATAGAATCGAATAGAATTGAATTGAATTGTTTTCATTTAAGCTTGCATTTGTACATAAATAATTAAAGAAACGAGCTTTTAACTTGTTTCAGGACAGTTCTATGGTTTCCATGGTTCCAGAGCTGCTCAATTTCCTCCAGAGAATAATGATAATGGGGTATGAAGTTATGAACTAGTTTCTGTGTTGTTTTAGCTTAACTGTCTTTTGGATTTTAACCTGTTAGGGTGTAAGTATAAGCAAATGGTTAGTATATATATAACAGCTTTTTATGATTTACTTTCTCCTATTTCCTGTTAGTAATTTTATAGTTTAATCTTCATATAGGCTTTAAATCCCAGTGTCAGTAACCTGGCGAGCACGTATTGTGCCCTAGCCTTACTTAAAATCGTTGGCTATAACTTGTCCAGTATCGACTCTGAGTCAATACTGACGTCAATGAGAAATCTTCAACAGCCTGATGGGAGGTATTATGGTTTACTGTAAAACTTTATAGCCTCATAATTGGATGCATTTGTTTCATTCTTTTTTTAGTGGGGGTGTTATGAGGTTGCTTGACCAATTTCCTGATATTTTTATACTGATTTTGGCAGTTTTATGCCTATACATACAGGAGCCGAGACTGATCTTCGATTTGTTTTTTGTGCTGGTATGATGGTAAAAGCTTATATGTACATACTTTTTAAGCCATTTAATTCAATATACTTGTGTAGTATCAATTTAGCTGATTGATGTACCAGTGGCCATTTGTCATATGTTGGGAAATTGGAGTGGCATGGACAAGGAGAAAGCCAAGGAGTACATATTAAAGTGCCAGGTCAGTATGGATACTGCAGTGATTTTGGGTATTCTATGAATTTATCTGTACTTAGACATCCTCTTGACATTATATCTTCCATTTGATCGGTATATCTCCAAATTCTGAATACCATATACTTATACTTAAGTGACGTTGTTATCTCAGTCATATGATGGTGGCTTTGGGTTGGTTCCTGGTTCAGAATCTCATGGTGAGTTGAAACTATTATGTATAATTGTTGAACTATATTATTTTTGCAGTTAATGGCTCCACTTGGAATTTTGTTTTTTTCTTTTGAAACTTTTCAATTTTATTGGCACAGTTGTTGTTTGTGTCTCTCTGATTTCAGAATGGGTTAGTTGTACCTATTTAACATTGATGCAATGTTCCCAATTTCTCTTTTGATTTCCTTACCCATTCCTTTGCTTGTTTGTTAATCTTTTGCTCGATTCTTGTTTAGTATTTACTAAAGAAGGAAGAAAGCATATTTCTCAGACTAGCTCTTGTGTTATAAGTTCATAAGTTTAAAATCTTCATTTTCTCCAATGATACAATATTCATCTTAGCGACACAGGTGGTGCAACATATTGCGGTGTTACATCTCTCTGCTTAATGGGATTCATTGAAGATGAAATTCTATCTAAAAATGCACCGTCTTCCATAATAGATGTGCCATTGTTGCTGGATTGGTGCGTGCAGGTTTATTTCCCCATCTATACTCTTCAAGCATTATCAGGTTTCCTTGAGATTGTACGCTTTTAACATTGCAGCAAGTAAACAATTGACAGGCATGGCTTTAAAATCTGCCAAATAAGTAGATGCTTCTGAAAACATTGGTCCCTGACTTTGCATTCTCATAATTCAATTTTGCATTCCAATAAGCGATTTTAGTGTTTTCTTATCCCAAAAGAAAGATTTATCTCATTCTTGTATACCACTGCAGAGGCAGGCAGCTGACGGTGGATTTCAAGGTAGACCCAACAAGCCTAGTGACACATGTTATGCATTTTGGTAGGGGATGGACTTCCTTTGGGAGTTTCATATAGTGTTGGGAATTATGTACCCTGACAAGAAATTTGCTTGTGCAGGATTGCATCAGTTTTGAAGATTTTAGGGGGCCATAAATTCATTGACAAGAAGGCTTTACATGGATTTTTGCTAACTTGTCAGTCCAAGGTGCTTTTGCTTCTCTTATCTCGTATTATTAACCTATGATATGGTAGGAGGATAATGTAATTCAGATTTCTCATGGAAAATCTGTTATTAATTCGGCCATGCATACAAATAAAGGACTTTATTTTATCAATCCCACCCATTACAAGGGTAGGAAGATCATGAGGCTATTGATGATAGAAGCCCTTCCAACATGCTATATGGTTTCCATAAGTAATAGCTGGTCATCCCTATCTATTGATGGTATACATATGATTACTGCTAGAAACACAATTGAATATAAATCTAAGTACTTGTTCTTACAAAAACAAACCAGACCAACAAAATGCAGAAAATATGAATTGACTTTGGTGCTTGATTTGTATGGCAACATAATCTTTTGTGAACATCGGGAATGCTGTAGTAGGCTACTCATATGATATTATGGAAGTCACTCAATTTCTATCTGATATTTTTCCTAAGCTAATACTGTTGCTTACAACTCCTGACGTTGTTGTTCATATTTGCATTTTCATCAGTACGGTGGTTTCAGCAAGTTCCCAGGGCAGCTGCCAGATCTATATCACTCCTATTATGGGCTTACGGCATTCAGCCTCTTGGAAGAACCAGGTCTGAATTCACTCTGTGTTGAGCTGGGAATAACTGCAATTGCTGCCATGGGAATCTGACTTGATAGTCCTTCATATTTGTTGGCCTTTCAAAATATTTGTGCGTTTCCACTCGTACAATTGTGCTCTTCATAATGAACAATGAACTTTCACCCTTCATTCTAATTTACAAGTTGATAAAATGGGAGATGTAATTTTCATACAGAAGTTGCATTTTGGGAGATAACCCTGCTCGGTTTTTCCCTTCTCCTCCCTTTTAAATTTTATTTTCTGTTATCAAGTGAAATTATAAAACCAGGTGTCACTTTCACTTAAATCGAGTTCAATTGAATGCAACAATGAAATGGAGATGTATTACTTGACCACAATAGTTGTTGGTAAACTTCTGTCAAAGTGACCTAAAGCATGTGACTGCATCGCCATCAATCATCATCACACGTTTCTAACTTTCTATTAAGTGCTGATGTTTTTCACTTCTGCTATCATAACAGTTATTTATATAAATAAATAAATAAGCAGTTTTTATGATTTTTAGTACCCTTGGTACTGTGAAATGGAAATTCAGTCCAATGAACAATGAAATAAGGAAGGACCATTAAAGTAAAAGTTGATTTATACATTAAAGCTCATGATTTGAGTCACGAATCTGTCAGCTCAGAAGATTACAAAGGGGGACAGTAAAAAAGTAAGAGCCTATAATGATTCTTCATGGTGGAGGGAAGGAGAGTTGCACCTTTCGGCAAATTCCCACAAGCCACTTTCACGGGGCATTTGCTTATCTTTGTTGTTTGGGAAAAAGGCCAAATGCCATCTCAACTCCATTCTCCTTTTTCCAACTTTGTCATGTAATGCAGGTGGTGGTCTGCTCTGCTTTCTTAATTATCATGTCAGCCAGTATGTAAATCCATGTTTTTTTTTATTTTATTTTCCATGCTTAATTAACCTTTACCTTTGTACAAAGATATTAATTACCCCTTCAAAATCTTTTTTTACGAAAACTAGTGGGATAAACATGCCAGAACAATGACATGGCGACAATGATTGTTTATGCATGCTCTTTACTGATAAAAGCAGGGGAGAGAGAGAGAGGGAGAGAGAGAAGAATTTGGTCTCAAATTTTGGACAAGAACATCAGTTGTTGTAGCATCATCACTCACAAGAAGATTACAGGTATCAGACAACTCAGGGGACATTTGAGACTGAATAAAACAAATAACTTCACAGCCACAGGTCCCCCACTTGCACCAGACCCATCTCTCCCACCATCAGGTTGCAGAAAATGTGTCCCCGCCATTAAAATTCAAGATACATTGCACAAGGGATTTTTCATATTAACCTATTACTAAACCCTCTATAACAGCCTAAAAAACAAGATAAACCCGACACACCAAAAATTAATAAAATCCAAAAAGAAAAAAGAGAAGAAAAAAAAAGAGAGAGATCAAATTGTTCTCTATTGTAAAGTGGGCTTCTTGTTAATTGGTGATCTGAATGCTGAAGGTGAAGAAGCAAGGGGAAGAACCTGAGAAGTGCTTGAATGGTATTGTGGTAGCTGGAGATGGTGATGATTAAGCTCCCTTTCTTTGTTTTTGTCAACAATTATTGTGATAAAAGAACCATCTTCCTCATCTTTAAGGAACCTTGAAATGGGAGGAGCTTTATTTCCTTTCTCTTGAACTTGACCATCAATCTTATGAACACCCTTTTCAGCCTCTTCCTTTAGTTTTATTCTAAGTTTCTCCTCAGCTACCTGCAAGAACTTGAACTTGGGAGGTGGAGATGACCTCAACCTGTTGAATTCTGCATCAGTTTTTGATTCAAACAGAGGGCTGAATCCATGCTGGTTGTGAGAATCCACCGCAGGAGTGAGAGGAGGTGTGAAAAGAGTTGGAGAACCCAAAGGAGTCAAATATGGTGTCTCTACAGTGACAAGCAAATCACTCAAACTCTTACTTCTTGACCCCTTTTGGCTCCTATCACCTCTAGACTTGCCATCTTCAGATTCCAAGTCCTCCTTTGTTTCTTCCACAATTGTGAAGAGATGTCTTGGAGGGCCTGCAGCGTTTTGCAGCCTCATAAGCTCTGCGTCCAGCTCATCCTCTTCCAATTGTTTGAGCAGCAAATTGTTGCTTGTGTGCATATGAAGCTGAGAATTTGGATCATGGACAAGGGTTTCTGTCATTCTCAATGAAGCACAGAGTTCTCTGGGGCCTCGAGCTGTGTGGCACAAAGAAGAGTTCCTTCTCCAGCAGAACGTGTAGAACAGCTCCTTTTGGGGGCTGCTGTAGTCATTTTCAATCTCTCTGTTGGTGAACCTCTTCTTCCACCACAACAAATAGTAAAGCTCAGCAATGAGAGCCAAGAAAAGACAACCAAAAACTACACTCAAACCAAGTCCTACGCTACTCAAAGATTTCATCTTTGTCATCAAATCTCATCAGAAAACTACTGATATTACATCAAAAACTGCAAAATCAAGCTCAAATGTTTCACTCAAAAGTTTTCATCCACTTCAATAGAAACCCAAGAAAGCAAAAGGAAAGCTTAATTTGCTGGGAACTTCTCAACAGTTCCAATCTTCTATGACCAGAGGACAAGTCCAATAACCAAGATCATGAACTTTCTCAAGGACCCAAAAGATGAAAGAAATATCTATGCTTTACCAGTTCTCTTTACCTTGCATACTACTTTACCGGCAAACAACGATGCCCACATACCCAGCTGCTAAAACATCACTAAAAGGCTTCTCCTTTTCTGAAAATCACTCTTTAAATCATCAACCATGATTACAAAAGCTTCTTACTTTAAAAACCCACTAACACTAACTTGCCTGGATTTGGATAATCACAGAAAATTGGCCCAAAACACTGAAACCCCAATTGCGTACAGAAATGGTTCATAAACAGTACAACCGTGTCATAGTGAGGTGCACAAAAAACTGGGAGCTCTGGAAAGAGAGCAGGGGATTAAAAATGGTAAAAGTGGAGCCTAGAGACTCAGAGGGCTGGCAAATGGCCGAATGCCTCTCTGGTTTATGGCTGTGAGGACTTGCGTTCTTCGAGGGATGTTCACATGCGAACACAAAGACAAAGAAAGCGATGTGTCATTTTGATTAGATGCTAAATTGAAATGAAGAAGCATCTTTTAATTTATATCTCAAATGGCTAACCTAGGAAAACCTGCATATATATTTATATAATAATAATAATATATATTAACTGAAAGTTTATAAGCTTTTTTGTGCGGCTTGATACCTTTGACTCCAGGTCCAAGAACTAAAAACAGTTTGTTTTTTGTCCTTAAAATCACAAATTGCTTGGCGTTGGCAGTGGCACCCCTGTGATTAAAGGAGGTTAATCTTCTGGCAAATGCACATTCCCTTTCCTCTGTTTTTTTAATTTTTTTAATTTTTAATTTATTTTATTTAAGAATATAATTATTCTCCAGTACAACTACATATCCATCCATTATGTTTTTCTATCTGTCAGAGTTTAAAAAAAGAGAAAAACATGGTTTGATTTCTTTAGACTGCAGATTTGTTTCAATTATATAAAATAAAACCCAATAAAAAAAAAAGTTTAATTCTCTATTGTAAATTGGCTGGAAACAAGTGGGCATTCAATACATATGGTTTTATGATTGAAAGTTTGGGGCCCATAGACCACATTAAAAAAAATTATATGCATATACGAACCGTTACTTTTAGTACGAGTATATGTTATACATAAATGTAGTCTTCCTAACATTTTAAATAACTTTAAAACAATCATAAATATATGTAACCTTCCCATATGCAACTGATATATGTATTGGCATTTACTATAGGAGCCTAGGACTATAGGTATGAGTATGGTTAAATTTACCAGGACTCTGTCAGGTGCCCATTTTGTTTCGGCATCCAAGCCCATTTTATGGCCCATTGAGACCACCCAAAATCAAGCGCAATTCTACAAACCTCAAGATCATGCATTACTCCTAGCTAGATTGCATAACAAGAATGTCTTGCAAAATTATTGACTCCTGAGGCCTCTCCAGCCCACCGGACCCATGATCCGGCGAGCGCTTAACTGCAGGCTTCCGCGGCGTGGCATCTGTGCGGCAAATTGGGCAACTCGGATGGGAATACAGCCACATGTCAATGCATGGAACGTGAAACGAGTGCATGCATTCCGGCAAGGTTCGAAATTCTTCACCCTCTTCAATTTCACTCAGGCACACAGCACACATGCCATCTCCCACCAAGACCAAGCCCACACCCCTTTGAAACTTGTGGGCCGGAATGAGTTGGGCAACTGAGGAAGCCTCCATGCTGCTTGCTGCTGTGAAGCTTGTGATCTCTTGCGTGTTAGGCCTCAAACGGTGTTGTATTTGTCGTCGTGGCCGGTTATGGTTGCAGCAACAAATGATGATGCAATGGTAGAGTGTGACCACAAGCACAGCCGAGCTCAAAGTCAAAGCCACCAGAAGAATGTACAATTTGGGGTCAGAGACAATTTTAGCCATTGTAGAAATTTACAGTCTAGAATTAAGAGACTCTAATTTGGCTAAAATGCAACATTGGAACGTTGGAAATTATATATAGAAGAGGCGATTATAGCGAAGGTTTGTGATTGTCTTGTGTGCCTACAAAAACAATGAGAAAATGGTTAGAGATTTGTACCTCTGAGTCGGCATTTTTGCCGATCAAAATATCATTTTGGTTTTCATTATTTCATATGCAGATCAAAAGTGTTTTGGAACTTCAAGTAGAAACAAATACCATATCATTTCGTGCAAGTAATGTTCATGGAGGAGGAGGCACCTGTGGCTGAAAACTTTGCCATTTTCTTGGGTTATTTGCCTTTCGACTTTCGCCTAACTCCTAGTTATGTGAAAGCAATGCACGGCTCCAGTAATCACACACCACAACAACCCATATGTGATTCAATTTGTTTTCTTTGTTTTGATGTAGTGGTTGTAATAGTAGACGTAATCAACCTTAAAAATCCGAGTTCTGTTATAATATACGTACTAAACAATTCGTCAATTACACGTTTCATTTCTGTGGTTTGAGTGAACATTAATTGCACAATCATATATTTGCGATGATGCTCATCTTTTAACATATATATATTTTTTAATGAAAAATGAGATATTCGAACTTGAGATATCTTCCAACATTAAGGATATAGATGCCGGTAGACTAAGTACTAGTTGGTTTTATTTTACGTCTTTTCTAGTTCATGGTGCATAACATGTTTTAGTCGTTAACAAAATTTTCAATTTTCTTTACCCTTAAAATTGTACGTCTTTTCTAGTTAATGTGTTATGATGGTGTAAGACTTTGCAGTTAGAATTTTGTTAGATGCTTTCTAGGTTTTCAAGGAAAGGCCTGAAAATGTATGCAACTGTGGAGCTTCACTCTATATAGGGCCTTATATATGACCCTTAGGTGAGGTCATATCTTTTAACCGTTGGTTTAGGCTAACCAATTTGATCTAATGGCTAAGAAATAGGACTTTACTTAAGGATCATATATAAAGCCTTCATTGTGGAATTCCTTATATATATCAAAGAGCTTCCATTGTGGGATCCCTCAAATAAACTTATTTGAGGGACACCCATTGTAGGACCCACTCCGGATTGTATTTTATTAATCCAAACCGTATATTTTGTAAGTACATATTCAAAGATCATCTCTATAAAAAAATCACTTGAATCCGATATCATTTGACAATTCAATTGAGTTATTGAAATTTTAGTACTTTCTTGAAGCACCGTGTTCATTGATTTTGTATGACACAATTGGATGTCGAAACGGTTTCTGATTTGTCTAATTTTTTGTAAGGATGATCTATGAATGAAGACCTAAAAAATAGATGATTTGGATCATTGGAAAAAAAAATTATAGGGTATCCTAAAAGGCGTCCCTCAATAGAAGGGGACTATATATATACACATATATAATAGGCTTATTATTTGGTTGTCTAGTAGAGCTTGATTTTGGGGTGGCCTTAACGTCTGGTGAGATCAATCCGATATACAATGGGCTTCAACGGGATGTCAAATCAAAATGGGCCTGTAGTTTGCAGGTCAACCCCAAAACAAATATAGAGTGGAAATTGCAAAATATAAGTAAGAATCCAACATCAACTCCTACTTATACATAAGCCATGCTTATTATAAACAAGGGCTGATGCCTTGCAACATCAGCTCCATCATGCAACACTCTACTAGCTAGGTTACAACGATGCCTTGCAAAATTCTTGACTCCTGATGCCTCTCCTGCTCACTGGACTCGAAACCCTACTAACGTTGAACTACTAGTGTCAACGGCGTGGCATTGGCGCGGCAAATTGGCAACTCGGATGAGAATCTCTTGCATTCAGTCCCCAAATGACGTCGTGTTTGTTCTTTTAAGGGCATGGTTTTGCAGCAGCAATAAACTACCATGCACAAGCAAAGGTAGAATGTGAACACAAACCATAGCCAAAATCGAACCAACTAAAAGAATCAAGGTAAGGCCTGAGAGTCAATGTTATTCTCGTCAGCCATATGGTAAGAGGCGGTTATAGCTAAGCAGGTTGCCATTGTCTTATTATATGCCTAAAAGACAAACAGTGAGAGATCATAGGCTTTTTTGAATATTAATATCATTAACCCAACTAGGTAAGCACAACAACTTTGAGAAAGCTCTTGCCTAGAAACAGCACAATTGCCATACCATTTCTTGCAATAAGTGTTGGATAATTCGCTTCGCATTTGTAACATTAACGATCAACTAGATTCAGTATCTAGTGAGACATTCTTTCGAAACGTTGAAAGAGATTCCAAGTTTGAATCCTCTCTATTTTTTTTAAAAGAATGTAGCACTAACAATAAAAGCAAAATGGAACCTTATATCAGTGATAGGATTAATAAGATATAAACACATTTTTGTCTCCCTATGCAGAAACTATTATGGTCAAATTTGATTATTTCCTATGCAGAAAATGGATTGGAAATTCATGAAGAAGACAACAATTGCCTCACCATCTTAGCACTAACGATGATAAAGCAAAAGGGAATCCGCCCTTGTTTATAATAAGCTCAACTCCTACTTATACATAAGCCATGCTTATCTCCTTTTACTTTTAGTCAATGATTATCAACTCAACTCAACTCAACTCAACTCCATTAAGTAACAATTCGATATGGACGCTATATAAGGGCCCAACAACATACATCCTCCAAACACAAAAAAGACATCTGCACTTATATAGAAAGGTAAAGCTACTATCCGGGACATATATGACAGCCTCAAAACCCTTTCTTTCTTTCTTTCTTCTTTTTTTTTTTAAATTTTTTTAAAATTGTTATTTTATATTAATAAAAGCATCAAAACCCAATTTTCATATTTGTTGTACGGTGATTATTTTTTTACAAATTTATAAATAAACCCAATCTTAGACATGTATTTATAAAAAAATCCAAGCACTATTTAAACATAGAAACACACCCAAAATCAACCCCAAAGTCAACTTTTTGGGTGTGTTTATAAATGGGTTTTGAGTGTGTATAATGATGGGTTTTGGGTGTGTTTATAAAGTGTTTTGGGTGTTGGGTTTTTTTATAATTTCAACCTCTATTTTGGGTGTTTTAGTGAAACTCCCTTATTTTTTTCTGAAAAAATAAATGCGATTCAAAATATCTCTTAAATATGCGTTTTACAGATGAACAAAACAAAAAGATGTTTTAAGCGCATCTCCAACAGTAGTAGCAAACCAAAATGTTTAAATTGAAGTTTGTTGACCTACGTGGCAATTTGAAAAGCTTTGTTTGCTACTTTAATATTTGGTACTCAAACAGACTTTTCAATTCAAGTAATGCAATGTTATGAAAAAGAACGAAAAATATGAAAATATATGAAAAATGTCTTTGTATTTATTGTTTGATTTAAAAAATATATATTTTCAAGGTAGGTTTTATTTTTCCAAAGTAAAATTAAATGTTTTAAAGAGTCAATGTCAACTTATCAGTCTTAAAAAGATAGAGAAAGAGGTTATAGCTTTTATGATTGAGTTTGACAAGGTTGAAGAGGGCTGTTTTGATGATGTGGCTCATCTATTTTAGCATTCTAAAATTATTGAAGAGGCTGTTGAAGATGCTCTGAACTAATCTAATATACGGATCGAACTCGAGTGCAATAGGATAAACACCCTATTTTGCCAAATTATTAAAAAGTTGGAAAGTAGATCAGGAGGTGATAAGACTAAACAGGTGTTAAAGATCCATTGGGTACGTTATCAAATAAGGAGTTGGTGTGTGTGTGTGTGATGATAAGTGGACTTGTTAAAAGATTCGATGTCCATGAGAAACATTGTAGCCTACACTACACAATACACGTGTACAGTTGCATGTATAAACTCTCCATCCAATCCAACTCTCTCTCCTCTATAATTTTGCTTTGGCGGTCACCCCAATAAAAACCTATATTTTGACAATTATAGGATGAGATGATACGTGTGGGTTGAAAAGCTAAACGTGTGGCTCGATGGCGATGCAATTTTCCCCATTTTTCATACGAATGAATGAATGATGGGATGGGATAATGGGAATGGGAACGGGAACGAGACACCGTCAGTTTCCCAAACGGCTATGTGTTGACTGGTAGTCTTTCCTAACTCCGCAGTACACAAAGGTCAAACGCCTCCGTCCATGGCAAATACGACTTTTGCAACTATGTTATAATTGCTAAACAATATCCGTAGTACAAAATGTTTGAATTTATAAAGGGTAAATAGTTTTTTAATTTTCTTTTATAAAAATATCAAATTTCATATGGCCACCAAATAGAGATGGTAATGGCGCGAATCAAGGATAGGCCCTTCCCATCCCATCCTTGTTTACTTTTTCTCCCCTCCCAGTCTTCATACACGTAATCTTTAAATCGGAAATTATTTCTGCCTTCATTAGGCACACTCCCCATTACAGAATTATCAATTTAAAAATAAATTTTGAATGAGAAAGAAAATTGGAAACTATATTATACCAGAGCAACAAACAATACAAAAGTTTAGTTTTAGACTTACATTTTTATGTATTATTTAATTCAATATATAACATAATATGTGAATATACAATTTGGTTAAGTTGTGGGACACAACTAGAAACCATTTAGCAATATATTTATATGAAAAAAAATAATATACACATATATGTATATCTTAAACAATGTTCGGATTAGAGACTAGAATACTATTTCTGTTAATCCCCAAATACCATATCCGATTTTTATCCTTGATACTCGATCTATTAAGATCGAAGCCACACAAACACCCTAACTTGTAGTAAAAATTATCATCACTACCACCAAGACTTAAAGTAAGAATTGAAAAGCACAATTTTTTTTCTTTTTTGTTGTTAGAAGAAAAACACAATTTTAATAGACCAATGTCATTACAAGTAAAATTAACACCAAATAAAGAGTTAGAGGACGATTGATATGAAATTTTTAGTTATTGGACCACAATGATACTGGAATAAAAGTTGAGGAACCATTTTGGTCAAAAATCCATTATAAAAATTAAACGTGAATTAAGATGTGGTGCCATCTCAACCATCTAACTGTTGATTTTTAACGGTCAAGATCGGCTTAAGACATTGTAGGGCTTTACCAGGTTAAAGGTTAAACGGGTCCGGGTCAAATGCACAATCGTCCATCACATATCACAAAGGT